CTCCTACAGTTCTTGACATTCCAGAGCTCCAGAGCCTTTGAAGAGCTTCCTTCTTGCGTCTTGCTGCGTTCGTGCTTGAAGACTCACCTCCAGCCCCATTCTGGTAAGTTCTTCGATTCCTTTATTGCTATTTCATTTGATATTCTTCGTTTTAGGGCACAAAAACCATAGATTTTAGGGTATAACTCCCCAAAACCCTCCCATGCCCCTTGTCCTCCTTGCTGTTCTTCAGCCCCAGTGATGAACACCTAAAGATCTAGGGCGGACCGGGCTCTGGGTCTTCTCTTGATCCCAAAAAACATTAAGACCGAGCAAATTGCTAGTTTTAAGAAAACTTCTGTAGAAACCGAGGTAGGCAGAGTACTTGACCGGTCGACCGGGCTAATATCTGGTCCGCTTGACCGGTCGTGCTCCTGAATTTACCTTCATGATCGAGGTGGTCTAGCACTCCATCAGACCAAGCTAAAGTCAAGCTCATTTTGCGCGATCGCGCTTCCACTTACACTTACCCTCATTTTCCTGCAGAGTCCAAGGGGATCACACCAACTCTGAGGCTCTTTAAGACCGAGCAGCCATCAAGCAAGAGTTTGTGCCAAACCACCTCAGCCGAGCTAAAACCAGCCGGCCACACATGGGGCGCTACCGCTTCCTGGTCGACACCCCGGTTGGTCTGGCCGCGTTCCGGGAGGAGTACGGTATCTCGGACGACGTTCATTTAGAGCTCGGCGTTGAGGACACAATCCCATGGGGCAGATTAGACCAGTGTCCCTTCACCGTGCTGTCAATTATAGGAAGAGGCCTCCGTTTCTCGGTTAACCCGCTGATCTGCGAATTTTTACAGCGCACCGGGCTAGCTCCAACCCAGGTCTCAACCAACACTTGCAGAATAATCAATGGGATCCACGAACTGAACAACCGACTAGGAATCAACCTAGGACTAGCCGAGATACTGTGCCAGTATACCCTCGGGCATACAAGCGATGGCCTTGCCTACTATTTAAAAATCAGACCGGGCAAGGAGAAGATAGTGACCGGCACCCCAAACAAGGACTTGCACGACGATGACTTTTTCTAGGTGTCTGGTAACTACGAAACAGCCGACGTACCAAGCTGGTTTATCAGCAAGAATTTCGGCGAGACATGTAAGCCGTGCTAACTGCTCGGTCAATTTATCTTTCTTCACTATTCTATACTTAGCATTTTTTCTTCTTTCTTTTGCAGCAATCGAAGCCCTGCCCACTATCACTATCCCAACGAAGCAGCCATCAGAACCGTGCTCCACTACTGCAACCGGGATTGCCACGAGCTCCTCGGTTACAAACCGATATATAGATATTCAGCTCCACGTCGGAGTAAAGTCACAGACTTTCTTCGCACTCCGTCTCCACCTCCCGATTCCACATTACCAAACGTGCCATTCATCCGGTTGACCGTGGCGGAAGAGATGGCCAAAAGAAGCCGCATCAAGAACCTCATCACTGCCACCTCCACTGAGATACCGAGCATCCCAACCCGCTCGCCTGCTGCCGGGCAATCCAATGGGATCGTGGTTGCACTAGCGTCTCCTGCCGCCGGGCAAGCCAGCAAAGACAATCGCCGGGCTGGCAAAAGGCCACGTGCAGACCCTTCCGCCGAGCTAGTTGCGGAGCTCAACACCGAGCAACCTGTCGTGGTAACTGACCCAATTCGGCCGTGGAGGCCCCAACTCAAGCAAGAGATCCCGGCGACAGCTTCTGTCAAAGGCGACAAGGAGCATCTGCTCCCCTTTGACCTCTCCAAAGCCTTGCTGCTACCGAGCGACGTGGTTGGTAGCGACCATGTTCCAGACACCCAGCTGGTGAAATCCTTGGTCAAGTCTATGACCAGGGTAAGAACTTTGCACATTTTGCCAAAAAAATTTCCAAGTGTGCTCGGTTTTCTCTCTAATCAAACCTTCTTCTTGCAGGCTATCCAAAAACAACACTTGGTCATGGAGCGCATTCACTGACATTCACCGACTCCGGCAGAAGGCCACCGACTCTGCCAACCAGGTGGAACACCTTCAAGCCGAGCTCGGCCAGTCCAAAACATCGCTGCAGATGGCGAATTCTGACAATTTGAAGTTGCTCGGCCAGCTTGGTGTTACCGAGCAAGAGAGGGATGCGCTCAAGACTGAGCTGGAGAGGTTAAAGCAATCAAGAAAGGAGGAGTTAGAGGATGCAAACAATGCCGACTTCAAGGAGGTCGAGGAGAACTACACTAAGCAGGTCCACGCCACCCAAGACATCTTTTTCAAGGCGAGCTGGAAGGCTGCTTGTGAACAGCTCGGCCAAGGACCTGATACCGACGTGTTTGCCACTCCTCCAACTGCCGTCCTGCCGACCTATCTTGTGCACTATGCCAACGACACCTTCAGCGCGTTGCAGGCTGAGGCCGATGAAGAAGAAGTTGAAGACGCCGAGGAGAATGCGGAGGGTGACAACCGCCCAAATCAGGCCAGCCAGGAGAAGACCGGCGCCCAGGTAACCACAACCACGGTCGACCTAGAGGCCTCGATCAGGGATGAATTAACAGACCTTTCCCCCCTAGCTTAGTTTTCTTTGTCTTCTTTCTTTTTGTTTGAACATGTAACCGGGCTATCTGCCCCTCCTCTTGTAATTATTTTGCACATCAATGAAAAAAGTTCAATTTTCATCAAGTGTTTGTACGGTCTTCGAGCTAGATAACTTCAGCCAGACAAAATACTTTGGTAAAACAAACCATCTTGTTTAACTTATTTAACCGGAAAAAGACATCTTGGTTTGAATCATAAAGTTGAGTAAATCATTAACTCAGTCAACCGGAGTAAAGCATCTCGGTTGAAGTTTCACAAAAGTTGAATAAATCTTCAACTTAGCCAACCGGAGTAAAACATCTCGGTGGAAGTTCAAAGAAGTTGAGTAAGTCATCAACTTAGTCAACCGGAATAAAACATCTCGGTTGGAATCAACAAGTTGATCAAATCATCTTGTTTGTCATGAGTCAACAACTCTGTTCAAATCATAAAGTTGAACAAATCATCAACTTGCTCGACCGGAGTAAACATCTCAGTTCAAATCTCAAAGTTGAACAAATCATCAACCTGCTCGACCAGAGTAAACATCTCGGTTCAAATCTCAAAGTTGAGAAAATCATCAATTGACTCCACCGGAATAAAACATTTTGGATGAACACCTCAAAGTTGAGCAAATCATCAACTTAGTCAATTGGAATAAAACATCTCGGTTGAAATCTCAAAGTTGAGTAAATCATCAACTTAATTAACGGGAATAAAACATCTCAGTTGGAATCTTAAAGTAAAAAACATCAATCTGAATGCTAAAGCAAAGATGAGACACTTCCATTATATTGATAAAAAGAATATTACATTCTGAAGTGTGAAGCAAAAAATTCATTTGCACAAAAAGAACACAAAAGCTAAACATAGTACAGTTTAAGGTTGGCCGCATTCCATGGCTGGGGTATTCCTCTTCCCTCCAAGTCCTCCAAGTGGTATGCCCCCTTGCCCGCCAGACCAGTTATCTTGTAGGGTCCTTCCCAGTTTGCCCCTAGTTTGCCTTCACCAGGCACCAGGGTGTTGCCCATGACCTTCCTCAAAACCCAGTCGCCTACTTTGAACGGTTAGGGGTGCACCGTTTTGTTGTATTTTCTTGAAAGCTCTTGTTGGTAGGCGGCTACATGGACGAAAGCCTTTTCCCGGCGTTCTTCCACTAGGTCCAATTCTAGGGCGATCGCTTCAGAGTTCAGCTTGGGCTCAAAACTTTCACTGCGGAGGGTGGGCATACCGACTTCCAAAAGGATGACCGCCTCCATGCCATATGCCAAGGCAAAAGGAGTTTCCCCGGTGGATCGCCGCAGGGTCGTTCGGTATGCCCAAAGAACGCTTATGCAATAGAACCAGCAAAAGGCTGAAAATTACTCGGAGAAGACGGGCAAAACTGGGTCCGAGACTGCTGAGAAGATGAGCTAGACACATATCTCTTCTTGGGACAATGATACTTCCAATGGCCCCTCTGATGGCAGAAGACACACTCATCCAAAGCCAGAGATATCATGATAACTAGAAAACTACGGGGTCACGTGTAATAAACTCAAAATAGGAAAAAAATAGTTAAACCAAGGGTCTAACCGTAATAACCAAAAAGGTTATGAACCAACCATAATCAGAATCAGAGCAAGACCCAAAAAACCAAGGTCACGAACAGAGTCAGAGGTCTCCAGACCATGCGACCTAAAGTCTAGAGAGGGAGAGTGAAATTGCAAAGAAGATGCCGAAAGGTCACAAAGGGACCAATGGAGATTGTAAACCACGTGAGCTGATAAACCTGATCAAAACTTCGAACCAGACATAACAAGAAGGATATCGCAAATCAAGAGAGAGAGAACTCTATCGATTTGTGATTCAAAAACTAGCTAGGGTTACGAACTTGGCTATGATACCATGTTAGATTTCTGAAAGTTTTTCTATATTCAATTGTATTTTCTGAACAAAGAATACATCACTTATATAGAACACTAAATCCTAATCCTAATCCTAAACGAATACATCATTGATATAGAACACTAATCCTAAATAGGAAATAAGAATACACCTAAACCAATCCTAAATAGAAAACAATAGTCACATAAAATAGAATATACTAATATTATTCTCACAGTTTTACACTTTTAGTAGCATCCCATTGACAAATTAATTGTACTGGAAGGTGTGTTTGCTGTGAAGGTGTGAGACACTTCACATCAGGAATATGAGGCGTTTAAATTATTGTAGAAGCACAAAAGCAAAATGGAAAATGAAGAAGTAGGTGAAAGTGATGGCTGAAATTAGGGAGTGTGGGTTCTCTGTCTTATTGCTCTTGTTCACAACAATACCCTTTTGAAACATGCAATTCAACTCAACACTTCACCTCCCAACCCAAGGAGCCTGAAACAAAAGTGAAAAGAAAGTGAGAGTAAGGCCACTTATTATCTTTCCCTGTAAGCGGGAGTCTTCTTCATTGAGTATGCCCATTTTAAGAAAGAAAGCATCGTCTACATGTGAACCAGTTGCTTGTTTGGTAGTCTTGGGGTGCTCTACCATATGTTTGATTTGTTCACATCATTAATGGCCTGAATTATGTTTTATTTGTCCATCAATTATATAATTTTTTGGTAAATTATCTAATCAGTTTTCTGCATTTTCGCATCTATAGTGGGATAAACTTCCAAGGTTAGCCATTGAACCATTTGTCTTATTGCTTTCACCATATGAGGAGCTTTGGTTTCGCCTGGGACACTCAAATTCGTTGGCATACAAGCCTTTTTTGAAGGTACGGGTTTCTATTTTTCTTGAATATGGCATCATGTGTGGTTCATCTTTCACACCAAGTAAATCTCTCTCCCTCCGTGGGTGGGTGGGTGGAAAGATTTACTATGTCCCCTTGCTGCTTGTCTGGGTGGAAAGATTGACTATGCTCAAGAGTTATATGACATACTGTTTTATTCTATATTGCAGACCACGAGCTGAAAAAGATTGTATTTCGAGTTCTTAAACATCGGTCAAGATGGAATTAGAGTGAATCTAGAAAGCTGCACACAAGTCACGTTCACTTCAATTTATCTTGAAAGATCAAGAATGTTCAGAGTCATAAAGTATTACTGTTTCATTGTTTTGGCAAGTTTCTGCATGTATGGCTTGAATGTACAGAAGTTGGAGTGATAAGGAGACACCACTTATATCTCCAAATTAATGCAGAAACTTGCCAGTTATTTTGTATCTTTTTATATATGGTTTTGGCTGGGGTCTTGGTTAGTTATTAGAACTTGAAATTCATCTTCTTTTTTCTTCTTTATTTATTTTTATTAAAGCATGTATTAAAGAAGAGAATAGATTTGTTTAGGCAGGAATTCAGGCTCATTTTCTGTCGTACTTAATTAATGAGTTTTCTTGTCATATTGATTATGAGACTTTGCAGGCTGATCCTGCTTACCTAAAAGAGTCCACAGTGGTCCTACCAGTTTAGATTAATGGGAAAACAAGGGGTACAATACAGGTCGAAGAAACATGTGCAGAGGATGACGCTTTCAAACTGGCTTCAATTGACCAAAAACTCTCCAAATATTTGGACGGTAGAAATGTCAGAAAAAGAATTTATGTTCTCGGTAAAATTTTGAATGTCATATTGGAGCCCCAAAACATCAAGGCAGGCATCCAGTAGTGTCCCCATGTATGAAGATTGAAAGTCTACACAACATAGACCAGGTCAATTTGCGGCAGAGAAATTTCTAAACCATAGAAAGTTGTGCTTTTGTCTGAAATGTTGATTGGCAGGTGCTAATTGTAAATTGCAATGAACATATTTTCCTTGTATTCTGGTGCTAAACATTCTTTTGTACACTGACAGTCTGTTTGGATGGGGTGATTTTGTGAGAACTAATATGAAATGAGAGAAAAAATGGACTGTTATTTGTTTATGTTTTGCACAAAGAATGCTGATTGTGCAAATGATGCATGTGGTAAACCAAAGGAGAGTACCAATTTGAATGTCATTTTATCTTTAACCTATGTAGAAAGCTAACCCTTTTCACTCGATTGATGAGCTTTATATGGTTGTGAACATTCCATAATGAATGCGGTGTGGTATAGAGTATTGGTCTGATTTTAAGTTGTTTGAGTTTTGTAATGGGTGTGTGATGTTTTGATAACTCGATTTAGTATTTAAAATTGAATATTGAATATATTTAGTAAAAATAAATTGAATTGCTTTGATAATTATAATTTGGATCACTTAAAATTTTAAGCACTCCCTAAAATATGTTTAAAGTTTTAAGTTACAGAACTTTTAATCTCTTATGATTATACTGCCTCTTATTTGCACAACAATCATTCTATCCATTCACCACACCATTATTTACTGCACAATATGACTATCTATGTATCATTAAAATTGATCTTAGATACTAAGTGAAGCTTATTATAAAGAAAAAAGTTGTCCAAATTAACAAATCAATTGATTTATAATAATCAACTTTAGAATTTAAAATAAAAGAATAACTTCATAATATGATTAGCTCCACAAACAATAAGGTTAATTTGTATAATATTAATTCATTATAAAATATGATTGTATTTAAGGGAGTATTGCAATGGAATGGATTGCTAGTTCTGAAATAAATATTTTCTAAATTATTTAGCAAAAAATGATATGTATTTAGCTATTACTCTTATTTTTCTAAACGATAGATTAGTAGATATATTAGAATTCAATCTTACACTTCTAAAAGCTCATGTCATAAAAGTATTAGAGTTTTTCCGATGTAAAATTATAGTTTGGTTATTTAAGTAACCATGGTTGACTCTTGTCTGACATTAATTCAATCAGGTTATGGTTCCTACTGCAAAATTAAATAATGTTACACTTATCATCTTATTATACCATCTTTAATATACTATCTCATGTTAGTACATCATTTGACATAAACATGGATGAAGACTCATTACACCAATGATGGGTTAACAAATAAGGCAAGTACATTGAAAGTGGTATAAAAAGATGATAAGTGTAACATTATTAAAATAAAATTACTCATTGAATAACATGACATCATAAACATATTCACATTTTAATTTATTCAAAATTTTAAAAACCCAATTTAGGAGTCCAAATTCAATGATGGAAACAAGCTTGAAGCTCAATAATGTAATGAATATTAACTTCCAATATAAATTAACCATGATTTAGATAGTATTTAGTTCACTTAAAATTTGATATTCTTACCCTCTCTAGAATGACCATTCCTTGTATAAGTCCATTCTTGACAACAAAGGTCCTAAAATTGAACAAGACTACTGAGAACATAAATATGTTGTAGGATTGTTTTAGGAAGTTGATTAAAAGATTCAGTTCCAATTCGTAGCTCGAAAGAGCGTGGCTCGAGAGTGGCTCGACACCAAAACAAGTTAAAAGCTAAAAAGTAACTTTTTACTCACTTGCCAAAATAAGCCTTAGTTGTTTAAAATTGAGTCCAATTTTATTCAAAAAATGGGAGAATAATACACAAATTTCTATTGGATCAAATTACTGGAGTCCAAAACTTGACGTGGGATCAATGCACTTTTTTAATATAAAATTTATTGAATTAGACCAATCACAATCGGTATATTATTCACACTTCAAAAGTGTGAACACATTCAATTCTTTTTTTTTTTCTTTCAATCAGCATTTCAATGTACTTCCAATAGCATCATAACGAAATAAACAAATTACACTAAAAAAAAAAAAGAGAAAAAATGTCTACACATCTGAAATTACTTAGAAAATGAAAACCAAGATTCTACATACCTTATAATAAAGCATTAAAAACAGATTGTTCAGCAAATTCAAAAAAACAAATACTAGTATCAAATAAGTCATGCAGTGTCTTGAAACAAGAACCTTCCCGAACCATTCCCACAATGCAATGGTAGATGCTCTACCTTCAATGTCCTATCTGGAACCAGAAGTTACCCCCATTCCACCTGTGTTACTGCGAAGTGCGCATCAATACATCAAAAACCACACATAAAAGTAATAGCAGCAGCAGGCAACAACAAAGTAACCTCTGAAGCACATAATCAATATGAGCACAACATGGAAAACCATACAACAAATATACATAAATGAACATCTAAATCTCACCATAAATTAATGCAATGTTATGATTGACAACGTCAACTATCTATTTGGCATAACATACTTCATGTAAGAATTTGACAAAATGGTTTAAGAATTTGGATAACACGGATTACAATGACATTATATGTTCACAAACATCATACAAAAAGTAATTTGGTTAGAGCATGAGAGATAGATTAAAAAGGTAAAAGGAAGAAAATTACCTAGTTATGGCAAGCTTAACTTGAACAATCAGCTTGTCAGGTTGTTCCAAATTTTCAAGTATCAAATTAATTTAATTGCAGTTCATGGGGGAAAAAAATGCCAAGAAAGAAGCTAAAGAGATGAACTTACAGCACCATGCCATCGAAGGAGTTGATAACAATTCCATTAGGGAGATAATATTCGGTAGACAATGGCTTCACACTCAAACCGAGTACTCCTCTCTTGATCCAGCAGAATACTCATAATCCTCCCATATCAGGCAAAATGTTTCATCATGTAAGTGAAAAAAGAGTAGTGGAAAACATGGATCATCTCTTAAAACCAACAAAACTTCTTTCAATGCCCAAAAATGGATACGACCGCAAAAATATTCTCTCATTGAGATCATATGCATGAATGATCTCATCTCCAACCCAATAAAGGGTATGACTAGCCAATACTGGATCACAATATGGAGATATGAGCTCAAATTTTTCATCCACCACATCCCATGAATCTTGACAAACATAATAGTGATCCAACAATAATGATTTTTTCATTATGCATGGATAACAGAAACAAATACACAGGGCGCATGGAAGGAAGGTTGTTTCAATGGCTTCCATTCATTATTGGAAGCATGAAACACTTCCGCCCACGCCTTTGAACTACAGTTGGTGCTAGAACCACCCCAGGGCTTAGTGCCTCCAAAGACAAATTTTCCTATCAATACCCACAGCTTTACCACAACTTCGGCGGCTAGGAGCTACCTCCATGCCTTTTTGAATCTCTGCAAGGGCCCAATACTTGACTTTGTGACTACCTCGTGTGGCCCCAAAGCAGTATACAACCGATTCCAATGTAGTCCAAAAACAACCAAATGCTGCCATATTAGGGGTCTCACACACCGGGGTGACCGGTGTGGAGAAGAACTCCTCCATCTCCTCTACTTTCCCTCCACTAACAAATATCTCAGCTATCTTCTTAACCAGATTGGCTCTTCTCTTGGCTTCTTTTTCCATTTTCTTTGTGACAGGGCCCAAGGATAGATGCTGCTTCATTGAAATTGATTATATACCAACTCGATTTTTGTTCACCAGAAAGTTTGGTTGTGCTCACACAAAGATACACCAAGGATGATGGATTTGATCCTTCCATATTGAAACCTTCCATTTCTTTCGCTGCTTGCAGTAGTAAGGAAAGGACCCAAGTAAGTTCTATTGAAGGGGAAGAAAAAAAAATTAATAAATAAATCTGGTTGGGAAGATTATTTTTGAAAACTCGGCTAAAAGTTAATTTTTCAATTTTTTGACTTTTTTGAGTCATTATTATTTTTTATTTTTCTATATATATTTTTCAAAAAAGCAAAAAAAACAAAAAACAAAAACCAAAAAAAAACTTTTAACCTATTTCTCAAAATAAGCCGTTATCAGTGTTAAATTTTTATTATTTTTTTTTTATAATTTCCCATAATAATTATCAACAAAACAACAAAACAAAATCAAATGGGAAGAGGAGGTCGGAGGGAGTACCTGAGATGAGAGGAGACGAGTTGCTCCGCCGCTTAGAACAACTCCCCCTTCTATACTTTTCACCGTGGCAGCAAACACAATTGTAGAGCAATTGTGACATCTTTTTGGAATACAATCACTGATTTGGTATTTATGGGATTGTTTTGGTAACTATTAGTTAAAAAATTATTGTCAAAAAATTAATTTTTCTTTTTACTTTTTTACACATTTTTTTATAAAAAAATTATTAAAAAACTAATTGTCAAAACAATAATTAATATGAGGCTTAATTTTTCTTTTTACTTTTTTTACACATTTTTTTAATAAAAAATTTAAAAAATTATTAAAAAATCTAATTGTCGAAACAACCATTAATATGAGGTGAGGAAAATAATTACAATATAATAAAAATTCAAATAAAAATTAAAAAAATTGAAATAATGAAATTTAGATATAAATAAGAATATGATTTGTTAATCTATATCTACAAAAAGCATTATCTAAATCTTTATTTGGATTTACTCCTATTTTTTCTCTCTCTATCACATATATTAAAAATTAAAAATTTTGAAATAATGAAATTTAAATAAGGATATGATTTGTACTTATCTATAACTTCATTTCTCCTTTTAAATTCTTAATCTTCTGCTCATAATTTTTATTATTCGTTATTATTGATTTAGTGATAAAGATAAAATATATATATTTCTAATCAATACTTATCCCTTTTGTTTGATTTTTTTTCTCCTCTATCTTTAACTTCCCATAGTTTAATTTCTTAAGATGAAGCACAAAACGCACAAGCACACCTTGAATGTTCATATTTTCAAATGATTTAGGATTTTATTCATATGTGCCTTTATGTTCAAATCATTTTATGTTTTGAATAAATTGTACTTAGATTTGGTTAGATTATCTCTATTTTAGTTGGTGATTGCATACTTTTGGGTGCAAAGCAATTATATTATTAGAATGTAATTCCATATTGTTTGAAAATTATTTAAGAATTTGTTATGAATTAATACAGGAAGACTATGTTGGCTCAGAATAAGAAGAGTATTAATAATAGGATGAGGAAGGCTACATGAGAGGATGCAGTACAAAAATCTTTCAAAATAAATTTTCGTCACTATATTTATTCAAGGTAATAATTTGATGTTATTTCTTTTAACTATTGAAATAGTTTGCATTGGATCATTGCTCTGTGTGTGTGTGTGTTTTTCTTTCTTTTTTTGGTTATAGTATTTCTTCAATCCCATCTCTCAATTTAGTATCTCTTTGAAAATTTTGTTTTTCCAATAATGAAGTTTAGAATTAATTTCTTAACAAATTTGTTTTCTTATTTTATTGAAGGATCCATACAAGTAACACTTCCATACGGCACATGAAATTAATGAATAGAACACAGAGATGGTAGGGAGGTACTACATATTTGTCGATCTCTCTTTATTATTAGAATAATGTTTGAGCTCTAATGCAGCTCTAATGACATGTGAAGGTGAGGCCCACGCTCCTCTCTCTATCTCTCTCTCTCCCTTCCACCTCATTAGAGCTCCATTTAGAGCTCTAGTATTAGAGCTATGTATCATAACTATTATTATTATTAGTTGATTTTCTAGATCATACTATCAATTTAGAGCTCATATGTTTTAATTTAATGTCAATGACTTTAGTTGCATTCGACCATTGTTTTGTTGAGTAGCCTATATAATTTATTTGTTAGTATATAATGATTAAAGCTATCATTTATTATATTTCTTCAAATACAATTCAAATAGTTTGTCATCATTTTTTTATAAATAAAATGGATTAAAACTATAATTTTTATAATCCTACTAAGTTCTTATTTTGATTTTTTTTTTCTTAAATATTGTAGGAACTATGCAAGTATTAATGAAGAAAATGATTATGGAGAATGAATTATACTCATATGATATGCATGTGTCATTGATAGAGGAGATCAAAGACAAAGAGTTGCTAACAGGATCAATTGATGATTTATTTATTTGTTTGAGAAGTTTTTTCTATGAGCAGGGTAACAAACTCATATTAAAAAAATTCAAAAACCTACTTAGAAATTACAATTAAAGGTTGAAATTTATTCATAATTTGGTCCCACAATAATAAGGTTAAATACACACCCTTGATTTAAAAGTTTTAAGTAAATTAATGATCACTTTTTTGAGTTTATAGAGTTTATATATACATATATATACATATTTTTTTTTTCCCGGCATGACGCTATAGTTTGATACAAATTATTTATGCTATCAAGTGATTGTGATAATATTACCCCCAATAATCTTCATAATTAACAAATTTTTATGCATATCAAATTTCATTGTGAAATTTTATGAGTTAATTATTGTTAACATCTACCATGATGGCCTAACATCTTGGCTTGCCGAGACATAATTCAAGATTAAAATAATTTATTTATCACACAAAATGTCTATTGTCTTTTTTTCGTGTGTCACACAGGTTACTGCTAGTATTATATAAAGAAAATGAAGTTTCTAAACTATAAGAGCACTAAGAGCTTCAAACTCTCAACCCAATTATCTTGCTTTTTGATTTTTTTTTTAAAAGAAAAAAACGTCAATTGACTACTAAAAATTGAAATTTAAAATTTAAAATTTAAATCATAGTAAATAAATCACTTAATGAATATTCACGTATGATTTAAGAATTCAAATTTCAAAATTTGCAAACTATTTAAGAAAAATCAAAGCCAAGTGATAGATACAAAAACATAAATACAATGAAAAATACACACACACACACAAACGTATCACTTTTTTGAGTTTATAGAGTTTATATATACATATATTTTTTTTTTCCCGGCATGACGCTATAGTTTGATACAAATTATTTATGCTATCAAGTGATTGTGATAATATTACCCCCAATAATCTTCATAATTAACAAATTTTTATGCATATCAAATTTCATTGTAAAATTTTATGAGTTAATTATTGTTAACATCTACCATGATGGCCTAACATCTTGGCTTGCCGAGACATAATTCAAGATTAAAATAATTTATTTATCACACAAAATGTCTATTGTCTTTTTTTCGTGTGTCGCACAGGTTACTGCTAGTATTATATAAAGAAAATGAAGTTTCTAAACTATAAGAGCACTAAGAGCTTCAAACTCTCAACCCAATTATCTTGCTTTTTGATTTTTTTTTTAAAAGAAAAAAACGTCAATTGACTACTAAAAATTGAAATTTAAAATTTAAAATTTAAATCATAGTAAATAAATCACTTAATGAATATTCACGTATGATTTAAGAATTCAAATTTCAAAATTTGCAAACTATTTAAGAAATCAAAGCCAAGTGATAGATACAAAAACATAAATACAATGAAAAATACACACACACACACAAACGTACATATACATGAAAAATTGATGGATTGAAGAATGAGAAGAGAAAGGAACCTACACAAATGTACACAAAAATTTATTCTGCCTTCAATTTGTTGTATGTGCCCACCGGAAATCTATCTTTGTGCAAAAACACCATTGCTAAATCTCCTTCCTTGAATAGTTTAGAGCGCCGATGGTTGTCTGCGGCTGCCTTATATTTAGCATTTGTTTCCTCCCAGTTTTGTTGTACTTCTTCTTAGATTGCTTGGCCTTGTTTGACCATGGATTCGGTGGCAGTACTCACTCCTGGACCCTGAGGCAAACGGAGCAAATCAACTGCATGTTTTGGAGGCGTGACATACACCAGAGAGAATGGTGACTTTCTTGTGGCACTGTGAATTGCGCTATTATATGCAAATTCTACTTGAGGCAAAACAAGATCCCACTGCTTTGGCTTGTCTCCACAAACGTTGCGAACCAAATTGCCCAAAGTCCTATTACTCACCCATGTTTGATCATCTGTTTGAGGATGTGAGGTTGAACTACGATTCAAGGTTGCGTTAAATTTCTTCCACAAAGTCACCCAGAAGTTGCTAAGGAACTTGACATCACGATCTGAGGTAATGGACTCAATTGCAAACGAACTACTTCTCGAAAGAATAATCGAGCTACATGAGAGGCGTCAGAAGTCTTTCGACAAGGAAGAAAATGCGCGATCTTTGAAAACCTGTCAACCACTATGAACACAGAATCAACTCCACATTGGGTACGAGGGAGTCCCAACACAAAGTCCATCGACAAGTCTTCCCAAATGTTGTTAGCAACAGGTAGAGGCATCTATAGAGGCCAGTATTCTGAGAGTGCCCTTTGGATACCTGACAAATGTAGCACTTCCTCACAAAATTGCCAATATCTCACTTCAACTAAGGCTAGAAATATCGTTCTTCCCAAGCACAAAGAGGTACGAGGAATGCACAAGCGATTTCCTCGAAATAGATAGGCATCAGTGATGTGGAAATCAGTGACTGGTTGCCTTTGAATACACTTTGCCCATATCTCCTTGAAGTCATCATCATCTGGATAAAGGTCTTTCAAGAACTCAAAACCCACAATCTCATGTGTCAACGTGACTAATAAACTAGCCCGTCGACTCAAGGCATCCGTGACTCAATTTAGAACCCCTAATTTGTCGTAAATAGTAAAAGGAAATTTTTTATGGAAAGTAGACCATCTTACATGCATGTCATCCAGGTGCTTCTGGCTGTTGATAAACTTTAAGGCTTGATGATCAGTATACAACACAAACTCTCTCTGTATTAGGTAATGTGTATCAAGTAATGTTCCCAATGATTCAAAGCTCGAACCACTGCATAAAATTCTTGGTCATAAGTGCTCCACTTTTGCTGAGCTTCACTTAATTTTTCGCTAAAAAAGGCCATTGGTTTATGTTCTTGAGATAGGATGGCCCCAATGCCCACACCACTAGCATCACACTCTACCAAGATCTTCTCAAAACTGGGCAAAGCCAGCACTAGTGCAGTGCACAACTTCTCTTGATCAACAAGAAGCTCTTTTCCGCATCATCATCCCACAGGAATTTTCCTTTTTTCATGCACTCTGTGATTGGTGCCACAATAGTGCTGAAACTTCGAATGAAACGCGTATCAAATGTAGCCAACCCATGGAAACTTTGAACATCACTAAACCATCTGAACTAACCACATAACCCAGGAACTTGTGAGGAAACTACACTCTTAAAGTTAACTTACAACTTGCTTACCTCTAGCGCTGTCAAC